CTGCGTGCGCCACGAGTACCACTCGAACACACCGGCAAACACCGGCTGGGAGAGGCGCGCAAGCAGTGACGCGTGCGCCAGAAGCATTGGCGGCGAGAGAAAGACGTCATCGTCGCCTCGCCCGATCATCGGCTCCGGCTGAGTGGCCGCGTACCGCAGAAAGGCGGCGAGCTTCCAATAGGTTGCGACGGAGCCCGTGCAAATCTTCCCGGCGGGGCAATTGCGCGGATCCGTGTCGCTCCGCATCCGCTCGCCCTCCGTCACGTTGACGACCAGCAAGTCGGCGCTGTCCTCGAGTGGCCGGCCGTGCCCCACCACAAACTTGACCCGCAGCCCCGCTGAGCCCCCGCCGAGCTTGAGCCACGTACAGCGCAGCAGCGCGCGCCTGCGTGCGGAAGTGCGAGCCTCCCTCTCCCACGTCAGCCGATGCCACGTGCACTCTCGGGCGCATGAAGGAGTTCAGACACGCGTGTCCCTTGGCATCTAGGAGCGGCGCCGCTCGCGGCTGCCGCTGATCAGCCCGAGCAGCAGCAGAGGCGGCGCCACAGCGCCCGCCGTGGCGCCGGCATCGGCGGCAGGGGAGCGAGGCGAGGCGGCGGAGAGCGCGGCGGGCAGGCGAGGCGCCTCGTCGAGCGCGAGCGAGAAGCCTCGCAGCGGGACCTGCTCGGACACGTCGCGGGCGCGTCGCGGGCGCGTGGTGGTCGTGTCGCGGGCGTGTCGTGGTTGTGTCTGCGTGGAGGCGGCGGTGTGCTCGAGCACACCGTAAAGTAACTCTTCTTCTGGCCCTTGCCCGAGCTGAGGCGGTCCAGGCAGCCGTCGCCATCCTTGCCGACGCAGAGCGTCGCGTTCAGCTGCCGACGCGGATGGTAGGCAAAGAGGGCCCCCCAATCGGGCACCCTTTTGCTGCGCACGCCTCGCCGCTGCAGACGACCGGTGCTGCGCTGGCTAACGTGCGCCTCCTCCGTCGGCATCGGCCTCCGAGTCGGCTGCAGCCTGTCGCGCTCGTGACTGAGAATCGCACCGACGATCGTGCGGCGATCGACCTCGCGCTGAAGGCCGTCATGTGCCTCGGCAGCCATCCTAGAGCAGAAGAGCAGTCGCAGGGTGGGAAACCATCCGACGGCGTGCAAGAAGGAACTTTTGGCGGCTCACACAAAAAGAAATGCGAAAGCCAAGAAAATTCCATAAGCAAAAGCCTCTCTATCTCACAGCAAACACGCACAGAAAAAAACCATAACTGCACATTGGGATTCTGCAATGACCAATGTCGAATGGTGTTTGCACACAACGAGAAGTCACAGGAGACCAAAAGTGCCAACAAGAATAAGATTTATATGCCCGCGACCGCCTTTTGTTGTAAAATTCTATACCCACGACCGACGCGTCCCCAAGAATCGCGGCGAGCGTCCATCACCCATCAGCAGCGAGCAGCGCGCCGCGCCCCGCGCCTCACCTCACGCGCCGAATGGCTCAGGACTCCCCCCCTAGCTCTAGCACGGACGCGCTTAGGAGCGCAGGCGCTGGCGGGGCTCCGAGCACAGTGCGTGCGCTCCCATTCTTTCTGTTGACTCTGCGCGCGCCCTTCCTCCTCCCCGCGAGAAGAGCTCGCGTCGCGCGTGGGCGAGGTCGTCCTCCTGGAGGATGGCGTGGACGGCCAGCATGTCGTCTGGAGACAATTTGTGGTAGCTCGTCGAGCGCAGCAGTCCCAGCTGAAGACTTTGGGCCCGAGCGCCGGCTAGGCGCCACCGGCCGGCCGAGTCGTTGGCCCCGCGCGCTCGTCTCGCGCGTAGCAGCGTTTTGGCAAGGTCCGGGAGCGCCGTCAAGGTGTCGACAGTGATCGCAGATGGCCACCGTTTCGGCCTCATCTCTGGCGCACGGTGGTAGTCGAGGGGATGCTTCGGCCTCTCTGGGTAGTTGGGCCAGCCTGCAGCGTGCCTGATGCAGCCGCCGAGCCACCTGTCGCTCCAGAAGACGCGCGCCAGCGGGCAGTGGCGGATGGCATCGTCTGTCCACACGAAGGCCTTCCGGTTCAAGAGCATAAAGTCGCCCTATTCACAGCCTGGCAGACGTAAAGAGACGCGTTCACAGCTCCGCGTCGAACTGGTCGCCTCCCGCGCGTGAACAAAGTCGCCCCAGCTGTGG